CAAAGTGAAGAAGACAAACTGACAGCTACTGACAGAATAAGAGCTCAACAGAAATGAGGCAGAGAAGATTGGATGATAGGAACAGCTATTTTGGAGAAAATGACATCTTAATAGGTAATACTGATTCAGATCATCTAGTTTTGAAGTCTCATCTAGCTTTTGTCCTTCTGTCTCCAATGGTCTAAATAGGTTGTATCTTACTGGATTTTATTATGTACGATAGTATAAGCAAAAACCTTGTAAAGACAAGGAGATTATACAGAAACCATTATTCATATTCTGTTAGTCGATTCTAAATACTCTGTAATGCTGTCATTCCCTTAAATGGTTTTACATTGTTTTTGATATACTTAATGCTACAGTATACGAAGTTGTACTCAAGGATTTCAAGGAAAGAGACAATATGGTAACTACTTTTAGGTCAGGATTATCTGGTGGTGAAACACTATTCTGCTTAAATGGTTATGTTTTGATCTGTGCTGTTTCGTTGTTATGCCCTCTTTTATCTCAATCTCCACTCCATTATTTACTTTTTAAATACTTTTTAAAAAATTTTTATCCTTTTAATTAAAGGAAAAAAATAACAGGATATATTATAGTAACCCACTTTGACTTTCCATTACCTCGATTTAAAGCCCTGTATTACTCTCACCATCTGGTTTTTAACTGATGTTCCCCTATTCTGTTTTGCTGGATAGTATCAGGTTCGAAAGTTTAGGCATCAGCTGAGAAGATAATGAGATTCATTATAACGTCCATTCTCGTTGACTTTTATCTACTTTTGAAGACCTACAATGTCTCCAATGGTTTGGTTTTGTCGGTTTTGTTCTTTACTGTTTTGTTCAATTGTATTATAACTAATGATATAGGCAATTCTATTAGAGATAGCGGGAGGCATTATGGTAACCATTGTTGATCACCTTGTATTATGTTTTCACATTATCTATTATGTCCACCCTTTTGACTTGACCGATTCTGTTCTGTTATGTCACATTTGGTTTTACTCTCTTCCAAAAAAGTAATAAGAACCGTGAGAGCAATGAAACCCAAAATGTGTAATAGTCATTGTACAAAAGAGAGGAAAAGAAAGTGCTCTAAACTATATAACTGCATGTATATTTAAGTATATAAGATAGAATATGATATCACAGAGTTTTATTGGATCATTGAACAGAACTGTTTGCAGTATCATTGATGGAATGTCCACTTTACAAGCTTTAATTTTGTGACTTGAACAATTATTTCTAAGATGACAATATGTAATCCATTAACTAGTGATTTCCTACTGTTCATTTTTTTTTCTGCAAATCTGTATAACTTGTACCCTTTCTCTGCTTTTTTTTTCTTTTCTCCTTAAATAAAATTAAAAAAAAAAAAAACAATACTGGGGATTTTTCACAGTCTTGATGGCCATTGGTATTTTTTCCTTTGAGAAGGATTTGTTGGGATCCTGCCCGGTTTTTAATGGTATCATTTGTTTCTTTAAGCTTTTTGAGCTCCTCCTGTCTTCCGGATACTAACCTTCTGTCGGTGGAGAGTTAGCAAACATTTTCTCTAGGCTTCACTCAGCCGTTTCCTTTACTGTGCAGTAGGCTTTTAATTTTTGTTTTGTCTTTTTAAGACAAGGTCTCACTATGCAGCTCAGGCCAGCCTTAAACTCACTTTGTAACCTAAGCTGACCTTGAATTCACAGCCATCGTCCTGCCTCAGCCTCCTGAGGGTTGGGATCACAGGCCTGCACCACCATGCCCTGCTGATACCTTTTAATTGAATTTAATCCTGTTTGTCGGTTTTTGCTTTTGACTCATGACCTTTGCAGCTCAGACTAAGCCCCGTACGTGCCGGGTGGCATCCACAAACCCTCCCACCGTCCCGAGCCTCTTTCGTCATCTCCAGTGTGTGGGGTGACACCCACCCTGCGGTGTCCCAATCGCGAACACTGCACGGGCAGGTTCGGCGGGGAGGACGGTGGCAGGCTGGGGGCACAGGGTTGGGAGAGGAGCCTTCGAGTTCCTGTGCAAGGTCTCGGGACTTCAAATGGGTGGGAGAGCGTGGGACTCAAACGCCCGCAGTCCCAGCTCTCTGGGAGGCTGAAGCGGGAAGATCGCCAGTTTGAGATTGTTCTGGGCAACTTGCAACTTAACAAGAGCCTGCCTCAAAATAAAAATAACAAGCAATGGTTTGGGGGTGAAGTGAAGGTTCTGGGTTCAATCCTGAATATCTTAGAGGGAAAAAGGCCCCAAAGCTATAGACTGGTTCTGAGAGTAAAAATCCTGGGCCCAGGGAGGAGGAGGTGGCGGGGTCTCAGCTCCCCAGCATCTCACTTGGCAGCTTCCTTCCCAGCAGCTCCTTGCCTCTACCCCTGCAGACCTGCATGCCACCAGGATGGGCCCCCGCTGTCACTCTGCCCCCTGAGATTTTCCTCCTATGCTGCCACGTCTTTACCCGCACAGCCAATGCCTGCCACCCACGTAGCTGTCCTCTCCGAAGCTGGCTCAACTCTGAATCAATGAGCACGGAACCGTGGTGCCCCAGAGAAACACAGACTTAGTGCCTGTGAATCTGGGGTTCCAACGTTATCTGTCTGCATCACTGCAAATCCTGCTTGAAGTGTTTCTGTTTAAAGACATCTCAACAGGCACATGGTGGATTCATGCACTCTGAGTTCCTGGCCACCAGCCTGGTAAATGCTGCCTGCAGGAAGCTTCTCTGACATAAAAGACTTTTCCTTTCTTAGGGACATTTGCTACATTTCTATACTATATCCGGGGACATCTTAAGCAGAGGAGTCAGCAATAAAAAAACATAAAAATACAGAAATGCAGGGTCCTAAGTAGCTGGTGACAGGGACGCTCGTGATGGCCAGAGCGCATATGGTGGGTGGGTGACGCAGGCGGGAAAAAGAACCTGGCAGACGACCAGGGACACGGAAGAGCTGCATGGATTCAGGCAGAGATGGCGGGTGAGCGTCCAAGACATCACCAGGGCTTTTATAGGTCGGAGGGAAGCAGAAAGAGCCGCGAGCGTGATGATCTGAGGGTGCCTTTCCTGGGTCACCTGGCTCCCCGTGGACTCCAGCAGCTCTGGGGGTTTACAGCTGCACTGGGACAGAGACCATGTCCCCCCAGCTCCCCAAGGCTCCTGGTTTTAGATCAAGGCAGTAACAGGCAAGGTCTGCACCCATATTTTGGAGGAGACCGATTGGGACTTCTCGGGAGGGGGGAGTGGAAGTAGGTCAGTACTTCTGCTGTGGTCTGGGGGTGTCTGTAACCCAAGTTCTGCTGGTCAGGGCTTTAACCCTTTCGCTGCCAGCGGGCACCACCACCACATGCTCTGTGCATGTCTGCAAAACGGCCCCCAGACCATGTTGAGGCAGGGGATTTTTTTTTTAAGTCACTAGATGAATTCCCGAGTGTGGGATATGTGATTGACGAGGATGGACTCTCACATCTTTACTAAGTTCCCTCAAATGGTGTATGCTGTCTGTTTCCTGTGGCTGTTCTGATCTTACAGGGAAGACGTGCTGTGGAGGAGGAGGCCGGGGTGAAAGTGTGAACCCCCGGGAGCCCTTGTACCCCACAGCGTGCATTTCCACTTTACCTCCACGCTGGCCTTTTACTCTGGGCCAGGTCCACTTAACCTTCTGAATGTCATCTCCTCTGCGACACGCTGGCTCGCCCAGAAGACCCAGACTGCTGAGGCCGTTCTTTGCCTCGCACCGTCAGATCCGCGAGAGGGGGTGTGTCTGGGTTGGTCCCGAATAGGGACCGGGCACTCACGCAGCTCTGAAGTTGCTTAGGAAATGCGGTCAGTCACCCTGGGCTACCTGTAGGCCCTGGTCCCAGGAACCCCAAGGACACTGGAACCTGAAGATGCTGGAGGACCACATGTAAAAATAATACGCGCTTGTGCATATCTGTGCCTATCTGCATGAACCCTTGTGCAAAATGCAGATGGGTTTTAAGTCATCTCCAGATAACACACACACACATTGACTTAACGTTCGTCACCCATCTGCTGAGTTGGGTGCAGTGGTTCATGTCTGCAATCCCAGTGCTGAGGGAGGCTGAGGCAGGAAATCACACACTGGAGTCCCACCAATGTGACTCAGGGAAACTTTGTCCCAAAACAGGAAGGGGACGTGGGATCTATAGCTCAATAGTGGAAGCCTCGTGGCTTTGATCCCCAGCACTGAAAAAGAATGATACAGTGTTGTTTGGGGAATACAGACATGGAAAGAAAATCTGTACATGTTTAGGTGAGATGCGTTTTTCTTCTGACAATTTCGGTGGGAGGCTGTTTGAGCCCATGGACGCCGAACTGGTGGGTGTGCGTGGGCCGGCTGTTTTGTGGCTGCTGAGGACATCGTCTCCTTTGTGCTGCTCTTTGGGTTTCTTCTAGGCCAGGGCAGACCGGAGCCAGAGCACAGCTTGCAGGGCTCTGTGGTGGCATCCATGAGGTCGTGGAGTCGCTTGGGACGAACCGAGCTACCCATGCCTGGGCGAATGCTACCAGGACAGGCTTCCTTGCTGCGGGCGGCCACTCCAGAGCCTCACCCCGGAGGTGATGCCAACGTCACTGCATTAACTCGTGACCTCCTTGAGGTAGGGGCCACATCCCCCTGGATCCCTGCTGCAGAGTCTGCACCTGGTGCCCCTTGTGCCCCGTGAGGTTAGCTCGGAGCCGGGCTCAGGGAGTCCTCCCGAGGGTACGCCTCACCATCAGCCAGGAAACTGTCGGCTTTGTGGCCTCCTGTGTGGCCTCGGGCGAGCCACTGAACCTCTCCACACCTCTTTTCCTTAACCTCGGAATGGAGGTGCTGACAGTAACATCGGGGATCCGGGATATGCAGCAGCTGTGCTGCGGCCCCGTGCGCTCACCTACCCGACCCCGGCTGCACGAGGGGGAGGTGTGCGCTGCGTCCCTTGACATTTCACAGGTCTTCTGCGGGCAGAGGACAGGGACCTGCTGAAGGCCACGCAGGTGCGAACCGGTGAGTGTGGATTTGAATACCAGCGAACTGGTGCCCAGATTTATTCTGTTTACTTCGAGGACGCACCGCCTACGCGCGTTGTCAGGTGACCCCCTGATACGCAGTAGGCACCTAATATGTGATAATCTGGATACATAAATTATAATTCAGCCCGAGGGAGAAGCCAGTCTGAGAGGAGGGAGAGTCATGGAGCACGCAGCCTGGCGTCCCCAGGGCCCAGCCCATGAGAACTGCAGGCCAGGGGGTAGGGACGCAGGAGGGTCACTTGCGCCCAGCGCTGGCCGGGGCGCGCGGGTCCCAGTCGTCCACCAGGCGCTGCGCCTCGTGGTAGTACACGTGCGGGTGCTGGTGGCGGTGGCGCAGACGCACCACGCAGTGGTCCACCTCTTGCCCCAGCTTCTTGCAATTGTGGCTCCAGGAGAGTTTGTCGCGCGCAGCCAGCAGGCTCTTGAGGTTCTTCTCCACGTGCAGGATGTGACGCTGCAGCCGGTCGGTGCCCTGGAGAGGAGGGTGGGTGGCACCGTGCTGGGGACCCAGCCGTCCTCTCTGGGATGGGCGGACACACCCGGGCCAGGTGTGCGGGCGGATGGAGCGCGCAGGGGAGGAGTCACATGTGGAGCTGGTGCGCCCTCCGGGGAGCGCTGCACCTCAAAAGGAGGTTGGAGAGGGGCGGGAAAGACCCCTGGGCCGGGTGTGCCAAAGAATCCGAGAAGTAGGGTGGACAGAGAGGGACAGAGGAGGCTCTAGAATGGAGGACGGGGGGACCTCGGATGGGGGACCCCTGGGCCAGGTGTGTGTGCAGGAACCCCCTCGGGGCCACGCTGAAGGAGGGGGGCCCCCATCACGAAGACGCGCGCGTGTCTGGGGCACACAGACGTTGCAGGGACCCTGGGTACCGATGGTCTCCGTGCGGGTTGCCCGGGGCGAGGGCGTTTTACCCGATCCGAGGCGCTGGGGGAAGTAGCCTTGCCGGTTGGGGCCGCGCCTAGATGGGGCGGGGAGGCGCCCCAAAGGGGACTAGGAGGGGACGCACCTGCGCCAGGCGCGCGGCCTCTGGGAGCTGGGTGCCTACGTGTCGCTGGTACACGCGAACCAGGGGCCTGTTGAGCTTTTCGCGCGTCTCCAGGTGGCATTCACACACAGGACCCTGGCGGAGCGCGGGGACCGGTGAGGCCCTGGGGGACCCTGGCGCCCCGGTCCCCAGCCCCCGCGCGCTTTCCCCGCCCTCACCTTGATGAGGCCGCTGGTGACGAACATTTCGTGGCTGAATTTCGTGCAGCGGTGAATCGTGCCCCTCATCAGCCCTAAGGTCATGTTCATTTTCTCCTAGGGGTGCGGGGTGGAGTGGGGTCATGCTGGCTCGGGCCCCCACCTCCGGCCCAGGTCCCCCCACCCTGCCGCCCCACGCACCTTCAGCTCCAAGGTCTCCTGCATCTTCTGCGCCAGCGTGGCGCACACGCGGTCGTTTATCTGCTGCTGGTGCTCCTTGACCTCCGCCTCGTTTTTGGCCATTTGCGCCAAGGTCTCCCTGGACTCCACCAACAACCGCTTGGCTTCGTTCAGCGCCCCGGCGCATTCTGGGGACACAGGCGGCCCTGGCTTCCCAGACCCTGGCCCCGGGTCTCCCTCTCCCCCTCCCCCAGGTCAGCCTGCAAGGAGGCCCATCAGCGCCCAGGGGCCCCCCTATCCTCAGGAAGTCGGGGACCACAGGGATCAGGGGGCTTTATGGAGGGACTGGGGGAGGAGTCAAAGCTGATTAGTGGAGGGCTGCGTCTCGGACTGTTTCCCTAAAAGCAGCGGAAGCTGTGAATGGAGCCGGGCTTGGTGGTGCATGTCTGTCATCCTAGATCTCTGGGAGGCTGAGGCAGGAGGATCGAAAGCTTGAGCTCAACCTGGGAAATTTAGTGTCTAATGAAGCCCCTGTCTCAAAAATTTTTTAAAAAAGTGTGTGTGTGTGTGTGTGTGTGTGTGTGTGTGTGTGTGTGTGTGTTGGTGCTAAAGATGCAGCTTACTGCAAACAAACGCTTTGGGTTTAATTCCTGGTATCCAAACAATAAAACACTCCCCCAAAGCCTGTGGTGACTCTGGTGGGGTGCCCAGGGGCGCTCAGCAAGAGAGCTAGGGATTAGCCGGCTGTACCTCAGGCGAGGGTTAGGAAGGGTGCACTCACAGTCAGGGCCCCTCCCCGGGGGCCCACCTGGGGTGTAGGTGCCCACAGGGTCCGGAGGGGGCGTCTTCTGCCCCTGCGTGCGCGGGGTGGGCTGGCGGGACAGGTCCAGCCAGGAGTGGCGGCCGGCCTGCTCCAGGACCTTGTCCAGTGGCTGGTTCATGAGCTCCACCGCCTGCAGCCTCTCTTTGCAGTAGAAGCCCAGCGTGTCCCTGCAGGAGGCCAGACTCTGGGGGCGGGGAGGAAACTGAGCTGGATGATTTCTCACCTGGGCAGGGGGTGGGTTGGAGAGGCTTCAAGTCCACAAGACGTTTCTGCCTACAAAGGGATCCCTCTTCTTCATCCTCCTCCTCCTCACCATGAACCTTTTGGAGACAGGGCCCTGCTATGTAGTCCTGGCTGCCGCGAACTCACTAGTAGCTGAAGCTAGCCCTGAACTGTGGGGATCCTCCTGCCTCAGCCTCCCGAGTGCTGGGATGACAGGTGTGCACCACCATGCTCAGCTCCGACATCTCTTTTGAAAATGACAACTCTGTATTTCATAAGAAAGTTTTTTCCCCTCTTGGCCCACATCATGACACCTTTCCGGGTTCTTTTTATTCATTTATCCTTTAAGTTTTCCTTTTTTACCCTGCATCATTTTATTTAAGGTGCCCAGGTCAAGCGTGAGAACTGTTGACAGCTGCTGGGTCTGCATAACAAGGATATGGGTTTTCAAGAAAAAACAGTAAGGGGGCTGGGGATTTAGCTCAGCGGCATAAGCGCCTGCCTTACAAGCAGGCAGTCGTGAGTTCGATCCCTGGTACCAATAAAAACGAAAAAGACAAACAAAACAAAACAAAACAATAAAAACACCGGTACGAAATTTCAAATTCAGATTGTCAGAGAGGAACAACAGCCAGTACCTTGGATGTGGGCACTTCCAAAGCTCCTACAGCTATCTCCTGTTTGGGGCTGTATTTATATACATTCTCTTCTCTCCCTTCCCGTCCCCGTATCTGTTCCCTTTTGAACAGTTTCCTCCCACCTCATGGTATCTGTTTCCCCCTCCTGATCCCATTTCCCCTTTCAGCTTCCAACATCAGGGAGACAACAGGATGTTCAAACATGCGAGTCTGATTCATTTCACCCCTGAGCGTGGTTCCAGCTGCACCCATCTCCCCAGAAACGTCTGAGTGTATCCTGCTTTACAGTGGAGTAGTGCTCCACGGTATCAGATCCCATGCATGTTATCCATTCCCTGGTTACCGGGCATCTGGGGACTGTAGTAACCTAAGTTTTCATTTTAACTAGGAAATAATCATAGCTCGTATACTCTGGGGCACAGTGGGACACTCCTGATGTGTGCGTGGTACACAGTGGTCACACAAGCCAAGGGGTGTTTCCAGTTCCTTACACGCTGTTTTTGTTGGGCACAGAACATTTAAAATTTCCCACTTTTAATCCTGGATCTTTGCTAGCTGGGTTTCAGTTTCTGTCTTGCATTGCTGTCTGTTTTTGGTTGCGGGGATCAAACTCACGACCTAGAGTTGCCAGGCAGGCACCTGTGCCACTGAGCTAGATCCCCAGCCCCCTTCCCGTGTGCTTTTCTCCCTTTGGATCCCTTGGCCTTCTGCCCACCCTCATTCACTCATTCACGACTCCTTTGTCCGTGTCAGATGGCTGGAAGGGCTTTTCAGGACTCTCCAGATGTCAAGGAATGGGACGGTGGTTGGGGATCGTCCCCAGCTTCGGAGCAGCACCACGGGTGGGCACTTTCTTTACACCCTGTTCCCCCAATGTCTGCCTGTGCCCCCTTTGAATGCCTCCTGGAACGTCAGCACTGCCAAGGTAGGTCAGCCCTGATCTGTCACCCGTGCCAGGCACAGGTCCCTGGGGACAGCAGGACATTGGGTTCATATTTGTCAGGTGGCTGAGTCCACAGCACACACGGTTAGGTGACCGGCTGTCCTTCCTGGCTGAACTCAAAGGACACTCAAGCTGGCCCCAGCTGGGGACATCGGTCTCAGAGCCTGTGTTCCCAACCCTAAAGAGAGAATTAAAGCTTCTATTTCACGGCAGAGGCTGAGTCCAGTGATTACACACCGCAGTGCTCAGTGCTATCCCGAGGCTCAAGGATAACATTCTCCAGTGCCTCAGTTTCTCTACTTTACAAAAGTGGCAATGTGCCTAACGCCAGGTGAGTTTGGGTTGAGGAGCTCACTGTTGTTAGGGTCCCCAAGGTCGGAGCTGTTCGTCCCCAGGCACCTAGGGACCCCTCCGGCCCGGGACTTGGCCCCAGGTGGTCCTGACCTTGAGCAGGGCCTCCGACTTTTCCATCTCTTTCTCCATTTTCCGCTTCATGGACCTCAGCTCCTCTCTCTCCCACGTAAGCATGCTGTCGGCTTTGTCCGGAATCTAGAAACCGGGGAGAGGGCGGCCAGAGGGGAGAAGAGGGCCAGCCGGGGTCACAAACTGCGGACTTGGAGGGCAAAGTTAGGGGGAATCTTCTACTTGGGGGTCTCAGTGCTTGATGAGACTTGGGACTTTTAGGGGCTCTCACTTGGGGGAATCTCACTTTCTGGAGTTTGGGGCTGGGGGCTTCTTTTGTTTATAGACAGGAGCCCAGTGGGCAGGGACAGAGATGACTGGACCCGAAGGAGGTCTGTTCCCACTTCTTAAGGGGGGTATTAACCCGGGAGTGGAGGCGCACTCCTGTCATCCCAGCACCGGGAGGCTGAGGCAGGAGGACTGCTGTGAGTTCAACTTACAAAGTGAGCACAAGGCCAGCCTGAGTTGCATAATGAGACCCTGTCTCAAAAACAAAAACAAAAACAAAAACAAAAAACAAAACAAAACAAAAACAAAAACCACATATAAAAAAGGGGGGCTCCTCTTCCTTCTTTTTAGCTACATGGACACAGAGAGTCTCACACTAGGCAAGGTTCTCCTCGGGGCCCGGGAGCTCAGTGGGTGACTGTATGTGGGGGCTTGGATTTCACTCTGTGGAAAGGTTTTTGGTTTAATTTTCTCTTTTAACTTTAACAAGCTGCATGAGTCCGTGTTTGCGGCATGTCAGGTCACATTTGTCGTGAGGCGCTGGGACACGTGTGTGTTAGGGTTTTTCTTGCCCACATCGTGCCGCAGAGGTATTTCTCTGTTTCCTATTCTTTCTTGTATTTTCTCTTTAAAGTATACTTTGGGTTTTTCATATAAGAGAAACGTGATCGTGAAACGTCTGATCTCACTTGGCCCCAAGATGTATCCATGTTTCCTACAAAAGACTCAAATGTATCCTTCTTCATGGTTAAGCAGTATTCCATTGTGTATAAATACATTTTTGGAGGGGGAGATTCTTTGAGTCAGGAGTCCTGCTCTCTTTCCTTGGCTGGGGGATTGGAACAGTTTTCTTCTCTTGGGGGGAGGGAACTGCAAACCTCATTTCTCTGGGAGTGTGGTCTCACTCCTTGGTAAGCATAGGCACCTCACCTTGTACCTCGACTGGCTGGAGTGGAATATGGGAAGCGACCCCAAACATCTTAGCCGAAGACTTCAGTTTCAGACAGAATCTCGCTATGTAGTTCCGGCTGACCCTGGACTCACTAGTGACCCCAGGATGGCCTCGAACTTGCAGCGATCCTCCTGCCTCAGCCTCCATTATGTATTACCTATTAATTTTTTTCTTTCTTTCTGGGGATGCAGGGGTTCACGTCCGTGGCCCTGTGCGCGCTACGCGAGCGTGCTGCCCTCCCAGCCCCCTGGGAGCCGTGGGTTCGTGCAGCTGGGTGCGGGGACGCGGGGGCCCCCACCTTCTCGAGCTCGGGCCGGAAGCCCCGCAGCTTGACGCTCTGCGCGTTGAGCAGCAGCCCCTTGCGCACCTCGCCCAGCCTGCGGTCCGCCGCCAGGCGCTGGCGCTGCAGCAGCCGCAGCTGCGCGTTGATCTGCTGCTGCGCGCGGCCCAGGCGGGCGGCGGTGAGGCGCGCGCCCCGCGCATGCGCCTGCGCCACCTCGGCCGTCTGCAGCGCGCGCGCGTCGCGGAGTAGCGGCAGCGGCAGGCGCGCGTTCCAGGCCGGCGGCTTCATCTTGCTCCGCCACAGCGTCACGCCCTCCCCGGGCGGCGGCTTCTCCATGGTGGTGCCGCCCTTGAGCATCTCCACGCGGAAGCGCCAGGGCTGGATGTAGGCGGCGCGGCAGAGGTGGCGCGCCACGTGCGGGTCGCGCACGCTGTCGGCCGGCTGCCACATGGTCACCGCCTCCCGCCCGCAGCGCTCGGTCGCCAGGTGCGCCTGCCGCGACACGGCGTGCGCGGCCTGGCGCCAGGCCGGCGCCCCCACGCGGGTGTCCTGGCTGCGCTCCGCCGGGGGCAGCAGCACCGGCATCGTGTCGGCTCGGTTCTGGGCCTCCCGGGTCCCTGCAAACGCGCACACAGGCGCGCACCACCGGGTCCCCGCTACGCGGTGCGCCGAGGAGCGTGCGCGTCACCATGGCTACGGAGACAACAAAGCGCGCGGAGTTCCGGAGGGGCGGTGTCTCGGGGAGGGCGGGGCACTGGGCGGGGCTTCGAGGGAGGGCGGGCCTTAGGGGCGGGGCTACGAGGTTGGGAGGAGACTTCTGGGAGGGAGTGGGCGGGGATCTGCGAGAGGGGGCGTGGCCGTAGGGGGCGTGGCTTGAAGGATGGGCGGTGCCTCCTGGGAGGGACAGGGTCTGTGGGAGGCGTTTTTTCCGATTCTTGCTGCGCCCCCCTGTGGCTTTTTTCTTTTTGGAAAGGAGGAAGGCAAATCCTACTTGCAGGCGACCTGATCTTGCCTGTAGAAAATCCTCAGGAAGCCAGTAAAAACTGTTGGTACCGCTAAATTTAGAAAGCTGAAAAATACAAACTTGGCAGTTGCCCACTGTAGCTTTAAACTCTGCCCTCCCCGAACAAAATGAAGAGACAGTTTTGTGTGTGATGCCATCACGAAGGACAAAGTACTTTCTTGAACAATAGGATGAACTTATTTATTTTTTATTTTTAAAAATTGATTTTTGGTACAGGAACCAAACTGGGGACCTCGCGTTTGCCAGGCACGTGCGGGACCCTCGAGCGCAGTCTCCAGCCGGGAAGAAAGCAAGCTTCTGTCTAAGACGGACGAGAGAGCCTGGAAAGTGGGAAGCCTGTAACCCCACTTCTCAGGGGTGTTTATTTTTTGTTTTTTATTTTAAAAGGAATATAACAAAACCATAAAACAGAACAAACCAGAACAATACTTGATTTAAAAAACAAGACAGAAGGAAACCCGGGTAGTTGCTGTACTGCGTATTGATCTCCTCTGTATAGATGCTCAGAGTGCAGGTTTCAGGCTGGGTGTGTGTGGACAGAGCACCTTAGAGCAGACGCTGGCTCTAACCACATCCTGGGCTCTGGCCCAGTGCAGAGTTCAGAACTTGCGCGCTCTGTGTGGAATACCCCTTTCCATGTTTTACGGGGTTCCCCCAACACCATGACTAAGCCCTCCTCTTCCCCAATGTTCCAAGCAGCTGACTTAATTAGAAATATTATAGGCAGCCAGGCAGGGCTGGGCCTCAGGGAGCCCGTGCAGAAGACCTGGTTTGTCTTGAACTCTGGAGGACACAGACACCTGCCACCACCCTGGGCTAGATCTCAAGACAGAAGATCAAGGGAACACACCCCCACCCTAAGGATTGGTGTTCTAACTAGGTCTCTATTACCCCGAGGAGGCCCAGTCACTAACCCAAGCCCTGCAGCCGACGCCCTGTTCTGTGTTCCTGCCTGCCTGGTGTGTGGCTCGCTTCCCCATTTGCTCCCGATTTAATCGATCTTAGCTGATCGATTACACTGGTAATCTTACTGGTTGACCACAGTTCTGTCCCCCCTCATGCCCGCCTTGCAAGTTCCCATTTTCCCCCACCAGGGACCCGCCTCATCTTGTGGTTTTGCTCTATAAAGAACCCTAGAAAGTGTTTGGCAACCCACTCTGGACAGGACCCATTCTGTCTCGCTCTCAGACAGAAGCTTATAAATACATTCCATTGTTAACCTCTGTTGTTCCTAAGATCCGTTCTTCGATTTTAGAGAACGCAGACTCCTACCGGACATAGCAGGGCAGGAGTTTCCTCCCCCCCATCACCCTACTCAGGATTTTTAGGGCAAGGCACAGAGGTGGCTTAGAAGTCAGATTACAGCCCTAAAAATTAAGAAGAAAGGAAACACTGGGCCAGCTATACCCCTTCTGGATACATCCTCAAAAGAGTTAAAGTCACTGGATTGTGGGGATACATGCACACCCACAGCAGCTGGGTCTCCGAAGTGGCCTCTGTGACCGTAAACCAGTGAAAGGGACTGGCAGGCGTGAACTCTATGCCACGGGGAATTCACCAAAGGAGGACACGGGGGAGTCCTCTGCCGGGAAGTCCCTGCCGCCATGTCAAGCAGAAACAAATCAGACCCAGTGGGTTACGCATTACCTGCCTTAGCATGAGGAGAAGCACAAAGTATCAGTAATTTAAAGATGAAACATGAAAGGGAAGGAAAACGTCCCGAGATGAGACTTTCGGTTGGTGCATGAGTCTCATGAACACAAAGATCTCAAGCAAAACTCAAACAAAGAGCCCCACCCGCGGCGAGGCGTGGGAGCGCTGACACCGTCTCGGGGACCCCGCCTCTGTGGGAAGCAGAAGGAGACTGGGAACACGGAGGACGAGGGCCCGTCCTCTCCGCTCCTGCCTTTCTCCATCGGACCCTCGCCTGTTTCCTTCTGGCCGAGGCCCTCAGCTCAGCAGGCGGCCCAGCAAACTCCTGAGCAGTCTCCTGGACTCCTCCCTCCCCCTCCAGTGCCACCTCAGCTGCTCGCGTTAACAATTTAGAATTAAAAAGCAAAGGACAATTTTTAGCTTTTACATCCTCTCCATCAACAAGTCCCGCCTGCCCTGCCTTTAACATTCAACCCCGTCGGGTCACTGATTCGCTCCGTGTCACCGACCTGGTCTCCTTCCCTATCTTCTTTGGCTTGGCTTCCTTGAATGTGCTCTCTGCAGCCAGTGGTGATGTTTTAATCCAGAGGATGTCACTGACTTACTTGAAACTCTTCGGTGGACCTCATGAGGCTTAAAGCCTAAAAACTTTTCCTACATGATCTGTTTTTTTTTTAACCTCTCTGAACTAATTTGGCATCTATCTTTCACCTGCAGCCTCTCTCACTGTCTTGAATCTCCTTGGCTATCTCTGTGTTTCCCTCAGAGGTTAGCTGGTTCCTCCTGCCACAGGACCTTTGCACTTACCGCTTCTCTCTCTCTCTCTCCTACCAGGAGTTGAACTCGGGACCTCAGGCTGCACCACTAAGCTAAATCCCCACCCACGTTACTCTTTTGATTGTATCTTTTTCCCCTTGAGATTTTTTTCTGGCCTGTTGGCGTTTGTGTGGTCTGCTCTTCTCTGGTGTCTACTATGGATCAGATGTGTCTGGTCCCTCAGGGTTCACATGTGGAAGTCTGGTCACCGGCATGGCAGCTTTGGGAGGTACAGAAGCCTTAGGAGATGGGTGCTAGTGAAAGGTAGTGGGGTCCCTGGGGGTGTCCTCAGAGGAGGTGAATGCAGGCATCGCGGGATCCTGGTTAGTTCTGTAGTTATTTTCTAGGGTAAAGCTGACTGACCTCTGGATCCTTTTTTGGCTTTCGGTCCCCCATGTCTGCTCTGTTCTGTGTGGCCTTCCCTGCTCCTGTTTATCTGCTGCCTTGTGAAGCAGCCACAGCAGAGGCTGAGGAGACGGAACCCCTGATCTTGGACTTTCAGCCTCTAAGGCCATGACTGAAAACCTCTCTTCTTTAAAAGCAGCCAGCTCCAAGTGTTTCGTTACAGCAACAGAAAACAGACTAACACAGTTTCCTTCAGAAGGACCTTCCCTGACTCGTGAAGTGTAGCTGTGTTTGTCTCACATTTCCTTTGTAGCACTGACCCTATCTGAAGTCTCTTATCCATGTCTTCATTTACTTTAAAATTTTTGGTTTTTCCTCACCAGCCTCGGAGTCCTGAAAGCAGGAACCTGGACTCCTGGCACTGATCAGGTCTCTCAATGTCCATGAAAAATGGGTGGCACCAATATGCTGTCACCATTTGATTTCTTTCGTGAATTGGAATTTTTATTAATGAAAATCAATGTTTTAAAAGTGTGTGGTCCTGAGGCACAGGGTATATTGTCATGTTGTCCGACCACCATGTCTAATTCTGAAGCTTTTTCATCATTTCCAGATTGATCCTCAGCTCCTGGGAACCACTAATCTGCTTTCTGTCTCCATGGATTTGTTGTGGGTGAGTCATAGAAACAGAGTGACACAATGTTGTCGCCTTTTACCTCTGGCTTTTTTCACTGGTCATCATGTTTCCAAGATGTATCCACACACTAGCATAGACCAGTGTATCTTCCCTGTTGCTGGGTGGGTAATATTCCCTCCATTTACATACCTTCACTGTGTATCCGTCTAAGTGTTGATACAGATTTGCTTTTTTCCCTCTTGTTTTCTTTATCTTTCCCATCAGACTGTGAGATTCGTGAGGACAGCGAGTTTCCCTGAGTTTTGCACCACTGTGCAAAACTTTTGCACCTATCACCCTTGTGGCTCATAGCAAGTACACAGCAAGTATTTCCTGAAAGAGTGTAAAATGAATCCATGATTTCTTGTGGAAAAATGAGAAGGGCAGAGGTGAAGCAGAAATGAATCATCATGGCTTGGCAGAAGCCGAGCTTGGTTCAGTGATGGGGAGGAATAAGATGGGGAAATCTCTCCCCGCCACCACCTTTGGATCTGGCTGCTTTTGCCATCTTCTGCCGCCTTGAAGTGTTGCCCCAGTGCCGTGACACCCTGCCTTGCAGCCAGCTGATTATCGACTGAAACCTCCACACACTGGAGAAGAAATGCGGTTGTTGAGGGTGAGGGAGAGAGGAAGCCAAACCGCAAGTGTGGGTCCACAGAGCGTGTGCTTGCATTAGTCTCCGCGGGTCAGTTTGTGTGGACCTGGGATTCTGCAGGACTGAGGGCCGAGGGACGCAGCTCGCGAAGCTGGAGGCCCACGTTCACCTGCGCTGGAGTTCGTGTGTCTTTGAGGGCCACAGGAAATATTGTAAGTAATTTAGAGGTGATTTAAAGTCTCCCGGGCGACCAATATTGGGCCAGAGGTGCAGCTCAGTGGCACAGCACCTGCCTGACAAGTGCAAGCTGAGTTCGATCCCGGGTACCAAGGAAAAACATCACAAAATAGCACATCAAGGGATCTACAAGGGACCTGAGGGTACAAGGACATTGGTATCTGAACAGAGACCTTGGAACCAGGATCCCATAAATATCAAGGGAGGACTTTACCCGTTACCCCAAGCTCTGGAGAAATTTCTCATTACTTTTCAAGTTCAAATACCTCTCTTAAACTACCCAATAAGCCTGCGTTTATGCTGTAAAAGGAATATGTATACATTGTGTAAAAAGTGTAAAATACGGAAAACTATAATGAAAAGAATAAAAAGCATTTAAAATTGTTCTACCCAGAGTACTGATTATGAAAATGTTCCTCATTGTACACAGTCTCTCACTGTGTGCGTGCATGTGTGTGCCTGTGTGTGTGCATTTGCAATCATACACTTCTCCTTCCTCCAAACCCCTGAGGTCCAAGTATTTCTAACTCAGGCCAGTGGGGACTGAACGTTTCTTTGTGAAACCAGCTCTCCGGTTTTTATAATAAAGGAAACCTTTTTAATAGAAATTGCTTTTGTAATTGCCTTCTCCAGGGTCACCGGCGCACACACGTCTGTAATGAATGCTGCACAGAAGGGGCCAGAGCCCGCCCGGTGAGGCAGAGCGACTGCAGGGCGCGTGCAGACGGAGCACCTTTTAAACTCTGGCTGTTCTTGCCTCTGTCTCGCTCAGCGTTGCTGGGAGACGCGCTTTGCTCTGAAACCTTGGCAGGTAATTATCAGAGACCCCTTTTCAGGTTCCCCGATGTCTTCCCTTCTGGGGCACCAGCTTCTAGTTTTAGTAGGTGCCCCCCTTTCTCTTGGAGATAATCACTTCCTTGGCCGCTCGTTCCAGGGGGATGTGACCTAGAATAGGTTTTGTCTTTGAGAAACGAGGTCGCTTTCCTGGTGGAGGTGGCGGGCGGTGGGGGGAAGCCCCAGGCCGTGACAGGAGGACATGCCTCGTTCTTTCTGGTCACTTTGTGCAGAGGTGGCCACCGTGCTGGTCCGTCAGTGACATGGACCGGCCCATTTGTCTAACCCCATCGGTCCCCTGAAAGGTCTCAGGGAAAGGTCGTCAGGGTCCATTGCAACCAGTCAATTCCACAGCATCTGTCCCGTTCCATTCCACCTGACCATTTGCATTGAAACCCTGCACTTGAATCCTTCCATGACACCTTTTTAAATTCTTTTCCATCTCTGTCTCTCTCCTTCCTCCTTTCCTTTTTTTTTATGCAGTAGTGGGACAGATCTTTGGGGTTTCCTGCTTGCCAGGCAAGAGCTCTATCACTGAGACACACCCCCAGCCCCATCGATTTTGGGTTGAGACATTGCTGGTCCATAATTAGTTAAGAAAAGGTGGCACTTGAGAAGGGTGGATCTTATTTCACTGGTATCTGTTTGTTTTTAAAGTCTTTTTGACACAGGGTCTCACTGTGCATTTCACGCTGACCTTGAACTCACTTTGGAGCCCAGGCTGATGGCCAACTTGCAAGGATCCTCCTGCCTCAGCCTCCCGAGTGCTGGGATGACAGGCGTGCACCACCATGCCTGGATTCACTGGTACAGTTATAACAAGACAAATGTGTGTGGGGGAGGGCAGGATAATGACATGATGATGGGCAAGGGAATTGAAGTCTGTGTCAAAGAGATGCCCATGCTTCCCTGATCCTCACAGCCTGCTTCATAACGGCCAAGATGCAGAATTCACCATGTGACCATGGATGACGGGAGGGCGGTGTCTGTACATCATGGAGTACTGCTCAGTCTGAGAAGGAAGGATATCCTGTCATCTTGATGGAGATTAATCCAGAGGACCTTACATTAGATAAAATAAGTCAGGCATCGAAAGATAAGCACTGATCTCAGCTGCTGTCTAAACATGTCCCAGTCTTTGAGAGTGAAACAGTTACTACGTAGCGTAGAGCGTAGCTGTGTCCCTGAGCCACTTGCCAGCCCTAAAATAACGGTTTGTTAGTGGTTGTTGAGCATAAAGCCTTCAGATGCAGACCCCACAGATAGATAGGCTGACTGTATACAATTTCTGTGGATCAATTAAAATAATGTGAGGACCTGAATCTGTAACAGGCCGTGAAATCAGACCTGCAAGCTTAAACATTGTATCATTTCTCCTACAGGAAAAACCATAGTACAAATAAATGGAAGATTCAAATGAAAGACAGTAGCTGAGATGGATCTTTGGCTAACGGGGAAAGAAACTGTATCAGTCAGGGTTTGCTAGAGAAACAGGAGATGCACAAATGGATACAAAGTTACAGGCCTGACTCACAGGTCAGCCTCAGGGGTATCTGCACGCTGGAGGCTGCGGGGTCCAGCCTGCGGGGTGGACGCTGCAGTGTCCCCTGCAAGTCCGTATCAGGAGGCCGAGGGGTCTGAGGTGGAGGGCTGAGGAGTCCAGGCAGCAGCCGGACGGTCTGCACCAGAGGTCAGGAGATGACGCCATGCTGAAGGCAGAGACTGGGGCTCCTGCCAGGACAGAAATCGGTCCTCCTCCTGTGCCTTTTGTTGCATGCAGGCTGCTCCCGGGGCGGGGTGTGGCACTGACCCCACCTGCCTGCCCTCCTCTGGCACAGGCTGAAGATGTGACAGATAAGGCCCCTGCCCCTGCCGCATCACTTAGAGTTCTGGCCTTCTCGGCCTGACACCTTGAACAGCATCCCAGGACGGGAACAGCCGGTCCTCTACACCCAGGATGTAGAGCTGCCGGGTCCCGTAGACTTCTAGACTGCTCAGACTGACACAGTGTGTAAACCAGACCAGGACCCAGAGATACGGGGAGGAGGGAGGGGCAGGAGAGGCCCTGTATGTGTACTGAGGGCCCACCATGAAGTTCGCACTGAGTACCACAAATGGACTCACGAAACACAAAGATGGAGGATTTATACCCGAGGGATGCCCACGACCCTGAACCCCACCAGGATCTAGAACACGCCAGGGTGAACCTCCACAGGAGTCTCTGGAGGTAGCATGGCCTCGATAGCACCTTAATTCCCAACTTCTGTCTCCAGGGCTGCATGAGAATCAATTTCTGTTCTCTCTGTCTCTGTTTGTTTGTTTGTTTGTTTGTGCCAGGAAAGGGATCACAACACCGAGGAACAGTCTTTTCTTTCTTTCTGCCTTTTTGAGACAGGGTCTCACTACATAGTCCAGGCTGGCCTTCAACTCACTTTGTAGCGCAGGCTTCCCTCGAACACGCAGAGATCCTCCTGCCTCAGCCTCCTGAGTACTGGGATGACAGGTGTGCGCCACCACACCTGGCTCCAGCCCTCTATTTCTTTCTTTCTTTTTTTTTTTTTTTTTGTCTTTTTTGTTTTTACTGGTACCGGGGATCGAACTCATGACTGCCTGCTTGCAAGGCAGGCGCGCTTATGCCGCTGAGCTAAATCCCCAGCCCCCCAGCCCTCTATTTCTTAGTGGACTGAGTCACTGAGTGGATGGCTTGAAAAGTAGAGTGGGCTCTCCACATCCTCGGGTTCGGCAGCTGAAGATTCAGTTAAACTGAGATTGGAACCCCAGAGAGGGCTGCCTGCGTAGATATGGTGGAATACTATTCAGCCGTCAACATGGAATCTTGTCACTTGTAACCGCATGCGTGCCCCTGCAGGATGGTAGTGAGGCGGGCACAGAGAGACAGACACAACTTGATGCCACTCATCGGTGGAAGCCACAAGTTCAAGTAGTGTGGTTAGAGTGGGGTGCCAGGAGCAGGGAGCAAGCCGGACACAGCAGGCGGTGCGGAGCAGAGGCTACAAAATTACAGTCAGACAGGAGGGGTAAATCTCAAGTCATAGTACCTGCAACTACAGAAACAGTGCATCCTGGAAAACCACGGGGAGAGTGGGTGTGCAAGCTCGGTCACAGAATGTGTCAGTTAGTGAGTGAAGGCACAGAGCTTGCCCTTCCGGAGTGCGGCACAGCCGGCCCCGCACCTGCACACTCAGCCCACACTGGCTGGGATTAGGAAGAAGAAACTGCCTTTCTATGGAACGTGCGCAGAGTTCCCCTCACTGTGGTCCTAAGCAGTAAACCACTATTTATGTAGCATTTGTATGACTTAGGATTTAAGAGTCACACAGAGGTGATTTAAGGCACACGGGTGGAGGTGTGTAAGCCACATGCAGGTGTGACATGCAGGTGCGACATGCAGGTGCGACATGCAGGTGTAACATGTAGGTGCGACATGCAGGTGTGTCATGCAGGTGTGACATGCAGGTGTGTCCTGTCTCCTAAGACAGCCGCGAGCACGGGCTGAGTTCTGTGTTCTTGGGTCCTGGTCCGGTCCCCCTCAGGAAGAGAGCAAACTAGGAACTAAAAGAGACCCAAAGCTGAGATCACGTCCGATGCTCACGGCCACTGAAGATGTGGTGGCCCGCGGTCTCCTCATCACGGATGGGATAATAAACTGACTGCAAGATTCGCCTTTTCCATTGTGTGAAATTTATGCTTTTCTGCGGGTGAAGCTCCATGGCTAAGCAGAAGCAGGCTGTTGTGCAAAATCCCCACTTTCTCTTCCGCGGCGGGGACCCGGTCCCCAGCAGACTGCAGTTCTCCGTCGTCCCCTGACCGCCCAGTGCTGGGGCACCGCTCCTGCACCCTCTGCCGGTGTTCTGACCATGCTAGGCATTTCAGATAAGTGGGGATCCTGCAATGTTTGTCCCCCCCTTAGCGCCACCTCCTCCACGGCTGCCTGTGTGACGCTAGCATGTGGCAGGGTTCCCCTTTTTTGGGGGGTCTCCTTATTATCTTTCCAGGGTTACCTGGACAGTGACCCATCGGCTCTGGGTGCTGTAGGATTTGGGTGGCTTTTTTGGGAGGAAGGAGTTTCCTTTTATATTTCCTGAATTTTCCAGTTTTCTTCAAGGAACAGGCTCGGTCTTGATAATAAAAATGTTTTTAAAAATCTGTCTCGTGGCTAACCTTACCAGCGTTGTGCCTTTTCAGTGTCCCTTTTTGGGGCTCCCCAAGTCCCGGGTCTAAGGCTGAGGGTCCTTCTACCCCTGGATCCTGCCTCTATTTTGGAGCCAAAGTTTGGGGATCCTACTCAAGGCCTCCTGTTACTTTTTCTCTTTTTAATGTCGGAGTTGAGGATTTACCTTGCTCACTGTTGCAACATAATTGACATAATTTGCTTCAACTTTGGGGTCTATAATTTTTAAAAATCACTTATTTATATTTATTTATTGATTGATTGATTTTAGAACAGAAGGAATTGCATTCCCTTAGCACTCACGACACCACGTCTTGAAAGGCCCCTGAGGCAGGAGGCCAGCTAGCCTTCCGGTGTGAGGAGCTTTAGGGTCCCTCTCGGCTTTGCTTCATGGGTGCAGTCAGTTTCCTGTATGTTAAGCGCGGCCCCTGCTGGGCACCACTGCCTCCTGCCTGGATTTCTGCTAAGTGAAATTTTCCGTCCTCGGGCCAACACCGCCCCTGCCCCAGTCACCCAGGCTCCTGGTAACCGCCGCCTTATTTACTGCTCATCTGAGTGCAGCTTCCTGGGCCTCCACGCGTGAACGGATGGCTTCGCGTTTGCCTTTCTGTGGGCAGCTCTGCGGGCGTTTACTATGCCCTTGTCTGGGTTTGTCCACACTGCTGCAAATGACAGAATTCCTTCCTCTGGTCTTCCTCTTCGTCCTCCTCCTCCTCCTCCTCCTCCTCCTCCTCCTCCTCCTCCTCCTCCTCCTCTTCCTCCTCCTCCATCTCCTCCTCCTCCATCTCCTCCTCCTCCATCTCCTCCTCCTCCATCTCCTCCTCCATCTCCTCCTCCATCTCCTCCTCCTCTATCTCCTCCTCCTCCATCTCCTCCTCCTCCATCTCCTCCTCCATCTCCTCCTCCATCTCCTCCTCCATCTCCTCCTCATGCATCTCCTCCTCCTCCATCTCCTTCTCCTCCTCCATCTCCTCCTCCATCTCCTCCTCATGCATCTCCTCCTCCTCCATCTCCTTCTCCTCCTCCATCTCCTCCTGCTCCTCCATCTCCTCCTCCTCCATCTCCTTCTCCTCCTCCATCTCCTCCTGCTCCTCCATCTCCTCCTCCTCCATCTCCTCCTCCTCCTCCATCTCCTCCTGCTCCTCCATCTCCTCCTCCTCCATCTCCTTCTCCTCCTCCATCTCCTCCTGCTCCTCCATCTCCTCCTCCTCCATCTCCTTCTCCTCCTCCATCTCCTCCTGCTCCTCCATCTCCTCCTCCTCCTCCTCCTCCATCTCCTTCTCTTCCATCTCCTCCTCCATCTCCTCCTCCATCTCCTCCTTCTCCATCTCCTTCTCCTCCTCCATCTCCTCCTGCTCCTCCATCTCTTCCTCCTCTGTCTCCTCCTTCCATCTCCTCCTCCTCCTCCATCTCCTCCTCCGTCTCCTCCTTTGTCTCCTCCTCCATCTCCTCCTCCTCCATCTCCTTCTCTTCCATCTCCTCCTCCATCTCCTCCTTCTCCATCTCCTTTTCCTCCTCCATCTCCTCCTGCTCCTCTATCTCTTCCTCCTCTGTCTCCTCCTCCATCTCCTCCTCCTCGGTCTTCTCCTCCGTCTCCTCCTCTGTCTCCTCCTCCATCTCCTCCTCCTCCTCCATCTCCTCCTCCTCCATCTCCTTCTCCTCCATCTCTTCCTCCTCCTCCATCTCCTCCTCCTCCATCTCCTCCTCTGTCTCCTCCTCCGTCTCCTCCTCTGTCTCCTCCTCCATCTCCTCCTCTATCTCCTCCTCCATCTTCTCCTCCTCTCCTCTTTTCCGTGTCTCCTCCCTGGTGTCCAGGATGGAACTCAAGGTCTTGCATATGGTGGGCAAGTGCTCTACCATTGCGCTAGAGTCTTAGCTTCAGAATTTCATTCTTTCTTTTAAAATCCTCACCAGCCCTCATTTCTAGTCTGCAATGATCACAGTCCTTGTGGGAAATACATCTTAATTATTTTCTTTTCCTCCTTCCCCTTCCTCCTCATTTTTTGGGCCAGCTTTAAGTTCATTCATTTGCCAGGGATTTAGCTCAGTGGCATAGGTGCCTGCCTGGCAAGAGTGAGGCTGTGAGTTCGATCCCTGGTACCAAAAAACCCTCAAAAAACAAAAACCAAAACAAACAAACAAACAAACAAACAAACAAAAAAACCCCCCAACCACCCCAAACCCACGCAAAACAAACTAAAACAAAACCGCCAAACTCATTTCTCTACCT